TTCACCATTGCAGTGATTGTTACTAAATGAAAAGCCCAGTGAATAATAAAGCTTATGTTGTTTCGGTGTTGGAATCCTGGAGAGATATGACTTACGCTACATATACATATATATAGTAATACAGCCTCTGTTTTGTTCCTTGGTGTGTTTGTAGCACAATGTTGATTTTGAATTAATTATGCATCAATCCTGCCTAAGTAGATTAAGAAAGGATTTTATTGATTTTAGTGTCTTGCATGCGGTTTTATTATTATAATGCATGTGATTTCCTTCTTGAGTGAATTACTTGGACATTAAAAAATTGTGAGGGAATTTATTTTTGGATGATAAAGTTTTATTCTTCCTATTTTTGAATTAGTTGAACACGTGTGTTAGTGTGTTGATGGGTTTGTGTGTTCAGTTTTGATGGGGATGTTCTTGCTGCATGGTATTCAACCTTTCCCTTGATATTTTTTTTTTCAAACCTCACCCATCACGTCCTCACTATATATCTTCATTTTCAGAACCTGAGAATCCCATTTTTATTTCTCTTTCTCTTTAAATTTTTCTTTTAACCATTTGTGTTCCTGCATCATTTTCTAATGTGCTTCTGAAATACTTTGGATGATAGCAAAAGCCTAGAGAAGAGATGGATAGTCTTCAATGATTATAGATCAGTCAAGCAACGACTTTCGTCTTCGGTTATATTTTTTTTTCTCTCATTCGATGTTATTACTCAGGGGGAGATTTGCCTTTGGCATTTCAGTCTAAGAAGGGGGAGAAATGAGATGTTTCTGAAGATGTTGGGGATAATGTTCTAGTTGTTTGCTTCTTATTATATTGGATGTTGTTTTTGACATGTTTCTGCATGATGTAAGAACGTTTATGTCTTGCTGTTTGATTGTCTTAACTATTCTGACAGGGGGAGATGAATTGGTCATTCTGTTTGACTTAGGTTCTGATAGCTTGATGTGTTTTCATTGCTCTGATTATAGTCCTCTTAGTTGTTTTGATAGGAACTGTTATGATGTTCTTACATTGCAGGTGTTTGAGTAGTTTACTTCCTAATGTTCGAACATAGATATTTGCTTTGCTGTTTTGAGTTTATTGTGTAGGTTATCTTCAAGATACACGGTTTTCGAACTGAATGCCAAAGGGGGAGATTGTAAGAATATTGGTTTGGCATCATCCGAAAAACCTAAGTGTTTTCTAGAAGATTTTCTTGTTAGGCAAGCAAAATAAATTAAAGGGAAGTTTTCTATTTATTTACTTGTTAATTAATTAAGTTCCTATTATTTATTATTAATAATATATGTTATATATTTATTATAATGTGTATTATGGAGTCCTAAATCTTTAGGAGAAGGATTACATGATATATATCTTATATATTTACTTACCATATATGCCACATGCATTAATGAGCTTGATTCTATGCCATAATTAGTTTTCTCTTTCTTGTAGGACAAGGAATATGTGTCAAGGACTATGAAGGGATGAGCAATTCGTGCATAAGGAGCTTTGGACGTTCATGAGAAGATCTAAAGAGGATTTGGAAAGATTCATCACAAGATCTTTGAAGATTTGGATGATCGGCTATTTTAGGAAAGTCTTGTTCTTACACGAGTTGAGGAGAGATCAAGAGAATATTTACTTTCCATGTTTCCGCATCATACAAGGAAAGAAGATCTTGAGAGAGAAGGAAGAGTCCTACACTTATCATGTTACTTTGGATAAAATTGGAAGGAAATAAAAAAGAAGTCTTATACTTGGAGAAGACTCCACACCTAAGGAGCTGTATATATACCCTACTTGAAGATCGAATTTAGGCTGCTGAGATCATTATCTTCCATTCAATATTCGAGCTTCAAGCCTTTTAGGTTTTATTTTCATTGTTCAGTTTTCAGTGTTCTTATGACATTGAAGAACTGAAGCATTTTGTTTTGATTATTTTATTTTTCATTCATTTGTGATCAGTACTTAGGGATTAAGTGCTATTTTTAGCTCGAGGGATTCGAGAGTTAAAGTCCACAGGACGTGGCCGGAGAAGTAGTTGGTAGATTCGAGTATAGTTGTTGGTTAGACTAGATGAGAGTTCTATGTGCTGTAAATCCAAAACTATACGCATGTGCACAATCGAGTTATCAATGAAAGAGCTCTGAGGGGAAGTGGGACGCTTTCCTGAAGAGTTTTTTAAATCTTCGGTTTATTGCTTCCGCTATTCTAGTTGTTTATTTGTTCTAACAACGTTGAGCGCACTTATCGTAAAATACCTACATTTCATTATATAATAGTCTTGATAGATAAATTTATATAATTAATAAATAATAAATTGTTATTTTTAATTAAGAGTGATTAAATAATTTAATTTTTATTTATAAAGTTAATATTTTTTGTGCATGCAGTATGATATTAAAAAAAAAATCATTAAAAAAGTGATTCATTTGATATATTATATATAAAAGCTTATGACAAATAAAATAATTAGGTTTTGAAATATATTTATAAATTAGAATCAAATGCACTATAATTTTAAAAATCGTAAAAGAATTGATAAAAGTTTAAACCTATATGAATTTTTTTAAAGTACCAAAATTTACCACATACAGAACACTGAAAATCTGACACGTAAAATTAAGTTCAGAAAAAAATTGACACCTTCACTCAGTAAACTCTCGGTTTATAGAAAGTAATGTACATTAATCGATATTTTAGTTTTACACAAAGTATACATGTATGAAACTTAAGGCATGATTGGTATGATTAAATGAAATTTAATATGAGTGGAACGAGTTGAAGAATTGAATGATTATAGGAATAGAATGAACTAAGTTTTTCCATTGATGTGTTTGGTATGCAGAAAGAATAAAACCTGAATGGAATAACATTATCATTCTATTATCATTTATCACTATTTTATTAAAAAAAATTAATATTTTTACTAATGTTATTTTCTTATTTATGATATAAAATTATTTTATTTTAAAAAAATATAATATATTATTAAATATATTTTTGTTACACCCATTTTATATAATAAATAACAGAATTATGTTTTTGCATACATATAAACTAATACAAATATATTATTGCATAAACTCCTATGAGCATATCTGGTCGGATATAATTATTTGTAACATAATTCAATTAATTAACAAATATATAATATATAAGATTATGTAGAAATAAAATAATATCTTTCTAAAATATTTATAAATGCATTTTTTGTGAGTTTTATTTTTATATAATATTTAATATACCTAAGTAAAATATGAAAAATAAATAAACATAAAATTATTTTTAATTATTTATTTAAAATTTATTATTAAAATGATTATATTTAATATTATTTAATCATTATATATAGTATATATGATATATTTATTTTTTATTGTGGTTTGTTTTATTTTTGAAAAATTGAATCCTAAAGATATGAAAATGAGAAGACCATGCATTAACTATGAAATGGCTAATCTACTGGAGATGAGTTTGCAATTTTCATTGGAATGATCATTCATTTCCAGTGTTCTAAAAGTCGCTAGGCGCCCGCTAGGCGCTCGACCAGTGCCTAGCGCCTAGAGCGCCTAGGCTGCGCCTAGTCGGGGCCCAGAAATCAATAGTAAATACCTTATTTTTTATTTATTTTAACTACCTACAAAATAAAATTATCTCAACATATAATAAATTCACACACCAAAGTCCAAATAATAATATTAATATATATTAAAGAAAACATGAGAACAAAATAATATAATTAGTATTTAAAAAAAAAAAAAAATTGAAAAATTGCCACCGAGCCCGCCTAAGAACGCCTAGGTCCGCCTACGCCCGCCTAGACGCCGCTTAACCGCCTAGCCGCCTGACCGATTTTATCTGCCGATTTGTACAAATCGGAAGCACCCGGGCACCGTCTACCGCCTAGGCGGCCGCCTAGACCGATTTTTAGAACAGTGTTCACTTCTAAAAAATATACCAATCATGAGATTTAGAATAAGTAAAAGAATAATTATTTCATTCACATGTATTCTATCATATCAATCATGCCATTAAAGTTAAATAAGAAACGGAATTAGGTACAATTGAAAGCACATAGAGCTAAAATACATAATTGAGAAGGGAAAAATAAAAAATACTACTAAAATTTACTAGGTTAAGTTAATCTACATTGATGCATGTGGGATGTAGTAATTGTTCATCAATTTGGCAAATAAATAACATTCATAAAGTTGACCCACTTTCCTAAAGAAACAGCACTCAACTGCACTCTTTAAAAGGCTTTGAAACGGCCAACCCAATTTGTATTGCAATTTGTCTACTTTCATTTATGCGTATAATTAATTATTACAACGGCATCTAATAAATTAAGGTTGTCCCCATTTGGTGAAGTCCAATCCAACCTCACAAAATTAAGGGCCAAAATACCATGGTTCTGAAAGTTGGTTCAATGATTCACTGGTCGGATCAGTAGTCGAACTGATTTAATATTTTTTTTTTGTAATAATATTGCTTGTAAACCCCAATATTGATCCAATAATTTTAGCAATGGAAGATATCCCACATTGAAAACACAAGAAAAAAATGTGTGCTATTTAAACCACTTCACAATCAACAAATTTCAAATTCAAAAGCTTGAAGCGGTGAACCATTCGAATCAATTCCGGTTCATCGGTTCAACTGGTTTTAGGCCAGTTTGAATGGTTTTTTACCAGTTCGAATGTTGAACGGTTAGATGTAACAAACCAGACCAGAATGAAGGGCAGTTCTCAGTCCAACCTGTTGAACCGGCCGGTCCGATCCAGTTTTCAAAACCATNAAGTTAAGGAATATATTGAATTCTAAAAATGCTACAAAAGAGAGTTACAAACCATAAATTCAAAATTTAAAACAATAATTGTTCTCTCTCTTCCTTTTTTCCTTCTCTTTTCACATTTTTTCTCTCTTTGTTCCTTTTCTTTTTCTTCCCTTTTCTTTTTGTGCTTCTTCTTTAAACATAAATGCATAATAAGAATAAATTACTGCAGCACTTGGAGTTCTTCATAGAGCCGCAGCCAATTGGGATGTTCCTCAAGGCATCGCCTTTGGTCCAACACCTCCAACAACTCTTGCAGAAATGGCCGGGCTCATAGATCATATAAAAACAACTATCAAGTAACACTAAAAGTACCATAAGTATTAACCAACATAAAAACAACAGCTTGTTGTCAATAAAATATATAAAATCAACCATGAACTGCGAGCCGCATCATCAATGCATCGCCGATTGAACAACCAGTTAGGGCTCACCCTCTTTGGTTGAACTCTGTCATCATCTAATGGAGATTTGGCACACAAGTTACGACCATTTGACACTCACACGCACACCAATTGAACGAATTTCGATGACATTTCTCAAATCCCTCAAAGCAACCAGAAGATGATTTGTGCACAACAGAGCTTCTCACTTCCTATTCTCCAAAAACCATCATCTAAATCAAAAATTAAAAAAAAAAATAGCTGCTAACAATTCACACGCAGGGCCGTCTCCAGAAATTTGGAGGCCCTAGACAAGTTTGTTCTTTTCGAATTTCTCGATTTGAACTTGCGTGGTAATTGAGCTATTTGCAGATAGAATCATAGAAGAAAAAAACTTAATTAAAAATGATTATTAAATAAATAAATAAATAATTGAAACAAAAAAATAATTTTTCTTGTTTTTCTAGACTTTGGAATTGATAAATTACCTATGGGTTACAAAGATTTTTAATAATTTACATTCAAGCAGTCTTGAAAATGCAAGGAGAAAGAAAATAAAACCATATCACTGCACAAAATATTTATTCTCACACAATTGTTCTAACCGAACACCATAAGAAAACAAATAAAATATTTAGGGTCTCAACTTTCCACACAAAATATATATTTTGTCACTAACTCATTCATTAATTAGCCCCTTCATTTGTATAATGGATCAAACTCATCATAATACATAACATTGAAAAAAAAAATGGGACCCAAAAAATATGGGGAGGCCCTAGGCATGGGCTAGGTTGCCTCCCCAAGGAACCGGCCTGACACGCATCTGATGACGTTGGTCGGCCATTTGTTCTCAGGAGTCGAGCTCATGTCCCTTTTTCTTCTTCTTCTCGTTTCATTTGCACTTCTTCGAGATTTTGGGCGCTTTTTTTAATCGGTGATTTTGGGCGCTCCATTAATGTGATTGGCAAGTGAGATTTTCTAAAGGATATTGTTTAGCCATTTTACCAAAAAAAATAAAAGAAAATAAAAAAATAAGTAAAAAACAAAATAGTTCCTGAAGAAGAATAGCAAACGACAATTGATAAAANATATAAGAGACGTGGATATTCAATTTAAAAAAAAATAAAATAAAACAAGCAATTAAAATTCGGAGGAAACCAACATATAAGAGGCGTGGATGTTCATATATCTTTTTTAAAATAAAACAACCAATTACAAATTGGAATCGTCGAATAAAAAATAACTGTTTATTAGTTAAAAATAAATAAATTTGAGTTTTTAGATGGACATAAAGAAAATATAAACGGGTAAAAACTAAAAGTGTAATAATAGATCCAGTAGTGCAATTGAGTAATAACTAATAAATACTTAAAAAATGACAGAGTATCTTTCGGGCAAAATCTATATATATATATATAATAAGAATTACTATTTATCATAAATAGTAATTAGAAATTTTAGGACAACATTAATTGTTTATTATTTTTTGATTTTTTTTTAAACATTAATCCTTATCATCATTTGACTTAGACGGCCTAAAAAAGTGGAATTTAATTTAAAAAATTCAAATCAAGTGTCCTAAAAATTTGTATTTTTGTTAAATCCCTCATAATATAATCTCATATCAATACCATTTTTGAATTTATTTTCTTTAAACATACAACAGAAACAGTATCCACGTACACAATTTATGCCTTCCTAAATTAAGTAATTTGTTGGTCCCCAAATTAGTGAAGATTCCTTGCATGAAGGATTTATACAATTTTGAAAAAATTGGAAACTTGGTATAAACCCATTACATATGATATTGGTTTTGAAATTTAAATTTTCAAATATCTTTCATATACATACGCAACTATTCATTTCCTAAAATTAATTAATTTGTTTAATCAAATACGATATTGTGGTATTGATTTTGGAATTTGAATTTTCAAATTTCTTCCATATACATACACAACTATTCACTTCCTAAAATTAATTAATTTGTTGAATCAAATACGATATTGTGGTCCGCCAAAGCCAGTGGAGATATTTTGCATGAAGACTTTTTACAATTTAAAAATATTAGGACTCTTGGTATAAACATTTTGGATAGCCTTTTTTCACAAAATAAATTTGAGATGGATTAGGAATTTCAAATCAATTCAAATTCATCTTTGATTACAAGTTAAAATTTTTCAAATTTTATTTTAAGAATAAAATTTATGGTTTCAAACTCGAGATAATGAGTTTGTAGATAGATAAATATTTTTTTATTTTCTTAAATATTTATTAAAAAATTATAATGACAATAAATTTTATGATAAAATAATAAATTAAGTATTATACCAGAATATGTAAAACTATTATTTTTTATATTAAAGAATAAATATATATACTAAAATCAAATTTATATTAGTATCAACGTTTTAGCGAGATAATATGTTAATTAATTTACATACTAGAGCTAATAATTAATTTACATACTAGAGCTAATAGGCTGAGGTTTAACGTTATGACTAAAAAATAACGATGATCAAAAGAGGTGTAAAACAGATGATCTAACTCTATTTTTTTAAACCTAATAGACAGGCCATCTGAAAACTCAGACTCGTGCATCGCACGGGCTACGTATTAGTACATAGTAACTAATAATAAAAAAATTCCTTTAAAGCCAGGGAATATATCGAATTCTAAATCTGCTACAAAAGGAAATTACAAACAACCAATTCAAAATTTATAATTATAAGGAAAATGCTACAAGTACATAATAAATTTACATAGAGGTGTACATAACACTCATATGGAGTAGGTCCACTTAATTTTTTATTTTTGGTAGGACCTCCACAATGTGAGTGTTATGTACACCTCTATGTAAATTATTATGTACCTATAGCATTACTCTAATTATAATTGCTCTCTCTCTCTTCATCTTTTCTTTTTCTTTTCATGTTTTTTCTCTCTTCTTCCATTTTCTTCTTCTTCTCCTTTCTTTTTGTTCTTATTCATCAAACATCATGAATACCTAAGCATAAATTACTGAAGCAAGCATAAATTACTGAAGCCGTGCTTGGAGTTCTTCCTGGAGCCGCAACCAACTGGGATGTTTCTCAAGGCACCACCTTTGGTCCAACACTCCAATCGCTCTTGGCCAGGCTCAGAGATCAAACTATCAAACAACATCTATANATATATATATATAAGTTTGATTTTTTTTTTAAATAGTAATTATATATATACATTAATTAATTATGCAGTTTGTCAAAAATTGTTCTAAAAAAATTAGATTAATGACAATTTTTAGTTAAATATTATTCAATAAATGTTATTAATTTTTTGTGTATTTAATTGCTCAAATTATGGATAATTAAAGAAATAATTTGACCGTAAAAATTAATATTTTTAAGATACTCTATTACGCAAATCCTGTAAATTTGTTTGATTTATTTAATTATAATTTATTATAAAACTATTCTAAAATAATTGTGTTATTGGTTGTTTCTATTTAATTATTTTTTGATAACTATTTTTTGGGTATTTTTTATTTCTATCTATAATAAATGTGTTGTACGTTGTGCAATTAATTTCGTGGTTAAACTGAATATCATTTTTTGCCTTTTATCAATAAAGTATGAAATTGAATTATTTGGTATATTATATATTAATCCAATATATCCGCTTATGGTAATAAATGGTATCTCCATATTTTTTTTCATATTTCTAAGCATTCGATATTAATGAAAGAAAAATCTAGATAATACTATGGTCGATTTTTCTTTGTAAATGTGTGTGGAACATATCAAATTATTTGGTGTGTGTGTGTGTGTGTATAAAGGTTTGTTTTTATTTAAATCACATTATAGTCTAATCAAGTTTCTGAATAAAAGTCTTAAAATGACACCTATTTTGAAATAAATATAATGTAACTAATTATAAGTTATTTGCACCGTATGGGTCGTATACTATTTTAAATAGACATGTTTTATATAATTTTGCACAATTTAAATTTCATATAACATTTTCAACAAATTCATATATGTAAACTGTATTATATATTGATTCCATATTCCTAAATTATAAATATTATTTTATGATTATTTATAATTTATGAATATTAATTAATATTTCTTACCCGTGCATCGCACACGATTCGTGCTAGTTAAAAAATATCATAACAACTATTAAACAATATAAAAAGAACAATTTGGTGTCAATAAAATATATAAAGACAACCATGAACTGTGAGCCAAATCATTAATCCATCTCCCTCGTCGATTGTTGAAAGACTTTGCCGGCCTCTTGGCAAGTGAGTTGCGAAATGGTCCTGGCTGGTCCTCTGGCCAGACCTCCAGCTCGTATCTCTTCTGATGCTGATGGGATTTCTACACACTCTTTTGTGTAGCGAGCTACATAATCCCTGATGGACTCCCCTTCCTTCTGCTGCATTCTTATCAACACTAGGTCTTTTAGTGCTTCCGCGCGCTGGAGAACTGATTTATTGTGATAAATATTACAAAATAATGTTCAAATTCGATACCACTTTATTTATATAGAAAATTATGCTATTAATCGAATTGCATGATTTACAAAATGTAAGTATAATTTAATTTATTTTTTTTCAAATATATTAAAGTAAATTTTACTATATTTCATTTAATAGTAAGTCAATTAGTTTAATTGCAAAGTCTTACTATTTTAAATTGTTCCAACAATCTGTTTCAATATATATAGAATATAGATATAGATGTCCTGTTAAGGAGACTTATTTCATTTCTCCCAACTTTAATTTATTTTCATTCGTTTTCTTCTCATTATCGAACCATTTTTTTATGTTATCATGCCCCAAAAAGAAAAAAGAAAACGGTTCTTGTTTACTAAAATATGTTGTTTGTTTTGGGAGGACCATGAAGCCTTTTTCTTGTGCTATGAACCAAACTA